GGACAATGATTTCTTAGGACACCAAAAGCACAAGCAACCAAAGAAAAACAGATCAATTATACTACATCAAAATGTACAACTTTTGTTGTGCATCAAAGGAAGTAAAAAGCAACCCACAGAATGGGAGAAAATACTTGCAAATAACATATCTGATAAGGATTTAGTATCCGGAACACATAAAGGACTCTTACAACTCAAGACTAAAAAGATAAATAACCCAATTAAAAATAAGCAAAGGATCTGAATAGATATTTCTCCAAAGAAGATACAGAGATGGCCAACAATACATGAGAAGATGTTCAAACATCATTAGTTATTAGGAAAATGTAAATCAAAACCACAATGAAACACTATTTCATACTCACTAAGATGACAAGAAGGCTATAATCAAAAAGACAGATAATGACAAGGGTTTGCAAGGATGTAGAGAAACTAATACCCACATACATTTCTAGTAGAAACGTAAAATGGTGCAGCTGCTGTGGAAAACAGTCTGGCAGTTCCTCAAAAAGTTAAACATACAGCTGCCATATGATCTGATATTCCATTCCTACATATCAACCCAAGAGAATTGGAAAAAAATATGTTCATACAAAAATTTGTAACTGGATATTCACAGGATTATTCTTAATAGCCAAAAAGTAGAAACAACCTAATGTCCGTCAACTGATCAATGGAAGCCAGGCATGGTGGCTCACGCCTGTAATCTTAGCACTCTGGGAGGCCGAGGTGGGAGGATCACTTGAGCTGAGGGGTTCAAGACCAGCCTGAGCAAGAGCAAGAGCAAGAGCAAGATCCCGTCTCTACTAAAAATAGAAAAATTAGCCAGGTGTCATGGTGAGCACCTGTAGTCCCAGCTATGTGGGAGGCTGAGGCGGGAGGATCACTTGAGCCCAGAGTCTGAGGTTGCAGGGAGCTACAACACCACCACGGCACTCTACCTCGGTGACAGAGCGAAACTGCCTCAAAAAATAAAAAAAATTGATGAATAGATAAACAAAATGTGATATATACATACAATGGAATACTATTGAGCCACAAAAGGGAAACATACAGGCTACAACATAGATGATGGGACATCTATTGTATGATTCCAACTATACGAAATGTCAAAAATAGGCAAATCCACAGAGATAGAAAGTAGATTAGTGGTTTTCCAGGGGCTGGTGGAATGACTGGGTGATTAGGAAGTGACTGCTAATGGTTATGTGGTTTCTTTCTGAGGTGATGAAAATATTGATTGTACAACCTCATGATTACACCAAAACACCTACTGAATTGTACATTTTAAAATGGTGAATTTTATAGTACGTGAACTACAACTTAAAAAAAACAGTATAAGGAAATGATCAGTATCATATATCGCTGGTGGAAATGTAAATTGGTATAACCTCTTGAAGTTCAATTTTGCAATATTTATCAAAATTACAAATGTATCTACCCTTAAACCAAGATAATCTCTTTTCCAGGCACTTATTCTACAAATACATTCAAACATGTGCAAAATGGGATATATACAAGGTACTGACTTCACCATTCTTTTATATATCAAAAGGCTGGAAACAACCTACATATCTATCATTATGTGACTGGTTAAATAAAGTACAATATATCTATTTAACAAAATATTATGCAGACATAAAAACTGATGAGGATGAGAGAGAGAGAGAGTGTGTATGTAGCAGAGGAAGATTTTCAATATAAGCCCTTTTGTAACTTTTGAGTTTTTAAACCATGTGAATGTATCTTCTATTTTGAAAATAAATAAAATACAGATTTTTTTAAAAGATTTTTAAAATAATGAATGAATGAGTGACTGTGGGAAGAGGACTAGCCTGAGTATACAGAGACCTGAATTCTAGTCCCTGGATTGATCAGCACCTACTTACCTCATCTGCTGATCAGTCTCCCCATGACTCCCTGACCCCGACCCAGGCTCTAACCATTTTTCACCAAAGCATACAGGTTTTAAGAGGTTCATTTGTGAGGATTTTGAATGATTAAATATCTCAATGTAAAAGGCAGAATTTATGTTCCTGTTTAAATAAGTTTCTAGCAGCAAAACAAGTAGCTCATACAATTTGTAAGGTTCATTGTGTTGGACAAGATTAATCTCTTTTTTTACCAATAGGGTTAATAGGTATAGTAATACACATTTGCCAAGTGAGAAACTTGCCCTAATGGACATAAGAGCCTTAGAGTTAAAGGAATTTAGAGCTAGAAAGAGCCTAAAGTTCAGCCCAACTCCTCAATTTTACAGATGTGGAGATGATATTCAGTGAGGTCAGAGTCAGACACAGCCAAGACTCACACCTACATCCCATAATTCCTAACCAGTCCTCTTTATTCAACACATACGTCTGTAAACCAAAAAACAAAAACTCAGGATTTCATGAGAGTACAAAGTCCAATCAGTCAGCCTAGGCTTATCACTGTGCTTTTCTTCTCTAAAGTTAGATACTTACAGGAAAGAGGTCTCTAAACATTAACTTAAAGCATGACTTCCAAGATTACAGATACCACACTTACACAGTTCTTTGAAGTACCTAATTTTGAAATAGTCAAAAATGTCCCTTATTTTATTGTTTAAAATTATGCACAACAAATGACTCAGAAATAAAATCTATTTTTATTTTACACATAATATAGGCAATTCCTAACTTGGAAATATGACAGGTTGATTTTATTTTTTTATTT